CCCCTGCATGGGCAGGGACACCTCCCACCAGCCCAGGCTGCTCCAATCCCCATCCAACCTGCCCTTCAACACTGCCAGGGATGGGGCAGCCACAGCTTCCCTGGGCAGCCTGGGCCAGGCTCTCACCATCTTGGCCTCCACAATGTGGGATGGCTCCTCTGAAGATCTCAGTGGCTTCTCAGGGTTTTCTTCCCACATTTAAACATGTAATGCCCTGAAATAAGTTGTGTAGAGCCATTTCCTCACTCCCTTTCCATTTTGGAACAATTGACTTCCAAGATGAATGATTGAGATAATTTCTCTCTGCAAGTCACTTGGAATGAATGAAATCAAGTGTTCATACCCAGTGTGAATGATCACACCCTGGGGCCTGAAATCCTTAATAAATTATGAAGTGTTGAGCACTTCTACCAGCCTTTCTCCCAGTGTGATGGGACAGCTGTTTGTGTCCCTGTTCCTTTCTTCCAAGCCTGCTTAACCTTCCAATCTCTTGTCTTGTGGGAGACTTTTCTCCTTGCCAGCCAACAATGAGCTGAAAACTGCTTTTCTTTTCAAACCCTGCATCAATCACAGGGGCTTAAATAAATGAGCTGTTTTGCTAAGCCAAGCACCTTTGGAACAAGAGCAGCCAAAGCAACACCACCTCCCTGCTTCCAGCTGGCTGCTCCACCAGCTGCTCCACACATTTCTGGTTTTAATAAAAAATGTAAATAAAGCAGGAGGATTCTTCCAGCCCCCTGGAGGTTCCTCACACTGGTCACGTCCCCAGTTTGTCCCAGTGACACGTGGATCTGGGGCTCCAGTTGTTATCCTGCAGCATCTGGTGGGTGCCTGATGGCAGGAGATGTTCTGCAGCCTCTTGGAAAAGTCAGCCTGTTATCTGAGGAATTTTGCTCCCTGGGATGTGCTCAGGAGGCCAGAAGGGAGTGTGTCCTTTGTTACCCTGCTTCTGGGCAGCAGCTGTGCTGGGTTTCTCTTGTCTCTGGGCTTTGGGTTCCCTGGGAGGAGGTGACTGAGCGGAGGTTGGGGGAAGGGATGGTCCATGTTGTGCCCCTGTCAGCAGGAGGGACCTTGTGGTGCAGCAAAAATGGTCCTGATTGTTCAGGCAACAAAACAAAACCCCCAAATTGAAAAAAAAACAACAAACAACACCCCAAAAAAACCCCGAAACAACAACACCACAAATTCTCCAGGAAAGACACAATGAGTAGAGAGGAAAAAACCAGCTGTGTGGAGAAAACTGTTCAGGGATGGAAGAATCAGGACCTTCTGCTGTGATGGGGAGGCTGCATTTGTAGACATTTTCAAGCAGTGACTTTCCCAGCCTATTAAGCTTCCCAGTCCAGGACCAAGTGCTGCTCCTGGACAGGGAATGTTTTACCTCCGTCAGCTAAGCGGCACTTGGTCCTGGACTGGGAAGCTTGGCCAGGTTCACAGCTGCAATAAAACTGCTGGAAAAACTCCAGAATTTGTTCAAAGTCATCATCATCTGCTGTGGGGTTTGTGTTCATAGGCTGGAGAAAGTCACTGCTGGAAAATGTCTACGAATGCAGACTAATTTTTTGGGGAAGGAAATGTGCTGATAAACTCTGGTGTTTTTAGATTCTTCAGAAATGTTTTCTGCCCAGCTTGCATGGAGAAACTCTTGAGGTGAAAAGCCAGTTGATGAGCTGAGCCCTTTTTGTGCAGCCCCCCCCCGGGCAGCCCCAATGCTCTTTCGCTTCTGCTTCTCCCACCTCCCACAGCTGCTGCCAGGGGTGACAAAAAGCAGCCAGGACATTCTGTGGGTCACACTGGGTGTGTTTAGTGGCCACCTGTCCTGGGGGCCACGCCCCGCTGACTTGGTCTGCTTGGGTTTTTAGATGTTGCATAATCTCATAGGGTGGTTTGAGTTGGAAGGGACCTTTAAGATCATCCAGTTCCAACCCCCTGCATGGGCAGGGACACCTCCCACCAGCCCAGGTTGCTCCAAACCCCATCCAACCTGCCCTTCAACACTGCCAGGGATGGGGCAGCCACAGCTTCCCTGGGCAACCTGGGCCAGGCTCTCACCACCCTCACACCAAACAATTTCCTCCTCATGTCTCACCTCAATCTCCCTCCTCCAGTTTTAATCCCTTCCCCCTTGTCCTCTCCCTCCCTGCCCTTGTCCCAAGTCCCTCCCCAGCTTTCCTGGAGCCCCTTCAGGCACTGGAAGCTGCTCTCAGGGCTCCCTGGAGCCTTCTCTTCTCCAGGCTGAACACCCCCACTCTCCCAGCCTGTCTCCAGACAGAGCTGCTCCAGCCTTCCCATCATCTCCATGGCCTCCTCTGGAGCAACAGCTCCATGTCTCTCCTGCGTTGGAGGCTCCAGAGCTGTTCCCAGTTCTCCAGGTGGGGTCTCACCAGAGCAGAGGGTCAGAACCACCTCTGCACCTGCTCACTCTACATCTCACTTCACAGGCCTTGATCAGGGGTTCTCTCCATTGGGTTTTCTGGCAGGTGGGATTGGAGGGTGTGTTTAGAAGGTGTTTGCACTGATGTTGTGTTTCTGCCTGTGACAGGCCATCCGGATCATCCGTGCCGTCCTGGAGAAGTACGGGACCTACGAGAGCTTCGAGGTGGCCACGGGTGGGAGGCTGCTGAGCAAGTGCCAGATCTGGGCCATGATCCGAAAGTACATGCAGAAGGAAGGCTGCGTGGGAGAGGTAAATCCACCTCCTGCCTTGATCTCCTGGAAAAGGCAGCTGCAAATTATTTCTTTTCTGATCAAAAGGACTCGGATGAAGAAGTGGTTTGGGTGCAAAGGGGAAACTTTGCTCCTCTGAGCTGTAGTGTCCTTTCCTCCCCAGCCTGGCTGTCCTTGCTGTACCCTGGCTTTAGGGCATGGGTGCTGGTTCCCCACCAATTTCCCTGCATTTTTTTCAGCTTTTATCTCCGTTTTATGCTTGGGAGAGTGAGAGAAAGAGAGAGGAGGAGCTGCTCTGCCTGCATGGCCCTGGGGAGCCTTTTGCTGAGCTCTCAGTTCCTGCTGGGAGCAGTGGTGTGGCAGACATCACCAACAGCTGCCTTCCCAAGGCATTTCCTGCTGGCTTATGGTGCTTTGAAACCCCAAGCTCTGGTTTAAGGCTGGGAATATGTGGTCAGGATATGAGAGGAGCCATGTGTGATGGAGGGGGGGGAGGTTCAGGATTTCTTTATCTGGTTTCTCCTTTCCCCCAGCAGCATCCAGCATGGCATGTCCCACAGCTCCCGTTAAAGGGCTTTTTCTTCCCCCTTCCCACCAGCAAAGTGTGGGCAAAAGGCCTCCACCCTCCTGGGTTCAAGTGATGAGAAGGATTTCTGGACCTGGTTCTGCTTTTTTTGGCTGGGTGGGCTGTCTTCTGCTGTTGGCTGCAGGGCTGAAGGCTCCCTCACCTCAGCCTGGTGACCAGACTGTTTTTCCCAGCTCTGATTTGTCCCCTTTGTCTCCAAAGTTCATCACCAGCATTCCCCTGAGGCATCACCTTGCTCAGTGATTCCCAGCAGGTTTTGTGCCTGTAAAACCAGGAGTGAGTGGTTCCCTGAGGTCCCACCTGGCCTGGGGACGTTCCTCCTCCACTTCCCTTGGTCTTCCCTGATCTCTCCCAGAGATGTCTTGGATTTGGCACCTTGGTCCTCCTAAACTTTGTGTAGGACAGAAGGGATCTCTGCAAATCTCTTTCTGTCCTTCAGTGCCCAGAGCCATTCCCACCCCCCAGCCTGGTTGCTCCACAGTCCAGCTTAACAGACCTGCACTTGGGACTTGCTGGCTGTCCTCTACCTCTAATTACATTAATTGATTAAATTAAGTTATTTTGCTCTTCTCTGTTCATCTAAACCCGAATTGAGCCCTTGCTGGGCAGAAAGCCCATCTTCTTCCTTACATATTGGTGAACAACTGGCTTCCTTCCAGCCCTGTCTAATTTTCCCTTTGCTTAAGGCAACCCAGGGTTCAACAATTATGGTTGCTCCTCGACAGGGCCCTTGTATCCAAAACTTTTGTTAAGTGCTTGTAAGACCATGAAAAAGAGTTGGTTTGCAGGTTCCCCCTGGTTCCAAATTGAATTTCTGGGGAAGAGGGAAGGGTTTCATGCAGTGATGTTGGCAAGCTCTGCTCCTCACACAGAACAAAAACTTGCTGAACCTTGAGCATTGCTGATAACAGAACTGGGAGGGGTCAAACTTGGGTCTCCCTCCCCACTCCTGTGTCTGGAATTCCTGACTTTCACCTGATCTGTTCTGCTCTGCCATTTGTCTCCCTGAGATGTAGCAAACGACAACAAAAGGAGAGAAACTCCTCTGCTCGGCCCCAGTGAGACCTCACTTGGAGTGTTGTGTCCAGTTCTGGGCTCCCCAGTTCCAGAGGGACAGGGATTTGCTGGAGAGAGTCCAACAGAGCCTATGAGGATGATGAAGGGACTGGAACACCTGCCTGAGGGGGAAAGGCTGAGAGACCTGGGGCTGTTTAGTCTGCAGAGGAGAAGACTGAGGGGGGATCTAATGAATGTCTCTCAATACATGAGGGCAGCAAGAAGGCAGGACAAGCTCTTGTCACTTGTGCCCTGGGACAGGACGAGGGGTAATGGATTCAAACTGGAGCCCAGGAAGTTGCACCTCAACATGAGGAAGAACTTTTTTGCTGTGAGGGTGACAGAGCCCTGGGACAGGCTGCCCAGAGAGGTGGTGGAGTCTCCTTCTCTGGAGCCTTTCCAGCCCTGTCTGGATGCCTTTCTGAGTGACCTGCCCTGGTTTTGGTCCTCTCTGGCAGGGAGGTTGGACTGGGTGATCTTTGGAGGTCCCTTCCAACCCCTGACATGCTGTGATCCTGTGACTGTGCTGCCTGCAGGCAGCTGCCCTTTGTCCCCAGTGCCAAGGGGTGAAGGCAGGATCCAGCCCTCAGGCAACGTGCTGCTGGGTAAGTATTTGCATTATCATTAACTTTGTGTCTTCAAAAGCTTCTTTTTTGGGATCTGAGCTGGAGATCCTGAAGCTCTTCTGCTTTTCTTCTGGCTCAGGATCAAGCTGATGCTGCCAGAGCTTGGAGATCTCCATAGGGATTTCAGCGAGTTCCCAGCTGGTGGCAAAGAAACCCCTGGCTCCTCTGGTAAGTGCTGCACGTGGTGGGATCAAATTGGGAAAGAAAAAGGAAAAAAAGCTGTGTGTTTGTTCAGTCTGCCTCCTGTTCCAGCAGAAGGTGGAAAGACAACACTTCCCACGGTTTGGCTGAACTCCTGTGGGGCTCAGGATGCTTTGGGGGTTGTTGATGCTGTGTCTGTAGCCACCTCAGTGACCTGGTGAACATTGACTTGTCCTGCAGCTTAAAACCCTCCCAAATAAGATAAAAATCAGCACTTTTCAAGCCAGAGCACTGTTGTAAATATCACTTGGTGCTTGTTAAAGTAGGTTGTAGCTTCAGGAAAGCTCAGCCCTGGTCGGATGCTCAGGTGGGTAGGAGCAGGGAAGATGCAGTGTGGGACATGGGACATGGCAGAGGAAAAAACAAGGTATTTGTGTTATGATAAGTTCTTTTCAGGGGTGGGAATTAAGGTGCAATGGGAGGGGAGAGCTGGAGGTCATCAGAATGGCAGAGGTGAGCTGTGTGGACCATGTTTGGAGTCAATAAAATCAACTTTAATAATCAATACATTAACTTTATTGAGTTTATACAATATTTCACCTGCCTGGGTTGTTTTCAGAGGTGGCTTTTGAAATGGCACATGGGAAACCTGAGCAATTCAGGGGATGCTAAGGGAGCCCCAGCCTCCCACAGGGTAGCCCTGCTGGTTCAGGGACCTGGAGCTGCTGGATCCCTGTCACCTCGGGATTGAACCTGGAGGAATCCAGGATCAACAACTGAAAAGGGGGAAAAGTAGAGAGGGGGAGCCCGGGGGTGGTATTTTTTTAACAGGTTGAGGGAAAGCTGGTTTCAGAATGAGAGCACTTATCCTAGGGCAGGAGTTAGTTTTTCTGCATCTAGTTTCCTAAATTCCAATTTATTTGGGTTTGTTTTGTTTTCATACAGGGGAGGTGAAGCATGACAAGACAGCAGGATGTGGTCTTGGCCCTGTGGAGCATTCCCAGCCTACCAAGCATCCCATATCCTGGAACTGGAGCTCCAGATGGCAACACATGGGCTCCAGCGCTCCCAGTTGGAGCTGCAGGTTGGGCAGTGGAGCCCTGGGGACCTGAGGCTGTCCCAGTGTCCTGTCACCACCTCCGTGCTGCAGCATCTTCCAGGGAGGAGAAAAAGGATGGAATAGATTCCTCATCTTCTTTCTTCTGCTTAAAACTGGCCCCTGGCTCTGCCCTTCCCACATCCCAGGATTTCAGCCTTCGCTGCTCCCATTTGGGATGGCTGTGTTGGATGTCCAGGATATATTCCCATCACAGAGCTCACCTAAGAGATGGGAATTGCTTAATATCACCCCAAGACCCAGCTCATTTGTGCCTCCTTCTTCCTGCTTGTGCTGAAGCCACGACCACCCCTGCCTGTCCCAGCCCCAGTTGGGGCTGTTGGCAGAAGCTGGAGCTGCCCTGAGTCTTCTCCCCCCGTGGGAGCTCCACGGAGGTGATGATCTTGCTACAAACTAAACCTGGAGCATAAAACCAGTTGAGTTTGGATCAGTTCCAACCACAGTTTGTCCCAGGTCACCAAGATCCAAGGCTTGGAGCTGGAAGGATTCTCTTTCACACTGGTATGTTTTAATCCAGGTAAGCAGTTGCTCTGTGAGCATTTTGTGCTGTTTTTTTTTGCCCTGCCTGCTCTGTCCCGTTGCACTTGTGGCTTTAATAACAGCTCTGCACAAGAATAAATCTGGGTTAGAGCAAACCCTTTCTGTCTCCTCTCCTTTTTTCTTCTTCAATAAGAGACTGGAATTGCCACGTGGGCACATTTTCATCCTGAAAAGTGTCAGCTGTGGAATAATAAGATGTTTTTTTACAGTAACATGGATGTGGTGGAAGGATTTTGAGATGAAATTGGTGCGTGCCTGAAGGTCCTGGCATGGTCAGAAAATGTTGCTTGGCTGGCATGTTAAGTTTGGTTAATGCAGAGCAGCTCTCTCAGCTCCAGCACTTGTGGTAGCCAGGATTCCAAAAATAGGTGTTTTTTTTTCATGGATGATGACAGTCCTTGGTCCTGTGTGTGTGTCACCCAGTTCTGTTGTGAATCGCGTCCGGGACAAGTGGTTCCTGCTGCCAGGGGGGGTTGGTGTGGATCCATCCTCAGGGCTCGTGTCTTGGAGCCTGGACAGGGACAATCCACAGTCCATGAAAATGAAGCCAGAGCCTTGGTTCTCACATAAGATGTTTCTTGGGAGGGTCAGGAGGTTGGGACCATAAGGAAGCAGGCGCTGTTGGTTGGAGCTGGATGGATTTGGTGATGGAATTCCCTGTGCCGTGCCGTGGGAGTGGGCAGATCTCCCAAGGATGTCCATTGTCTGGGGCCACCAGATGGTGCAGAGCTCATGGGAACAAGCTGGGGGTGTTGCTGGAGCTGGGGGGATGCTGGTGGGGGTGGTGTTGGGTGCTGGAGCTGGGGGTGCTGGAACCAGGCTGCCCAGGTGGCCACTCAGGTTTGGCTGCAAAGAGATGGAAGTTGTGATTTCATCCTGTGGGATCATCTCCTGCCCCTTCCTCCTGCTCCCACCATCTGGGGTTTCTCTGTGGAGCCGCAGCACAAGTTGGTGACAACGTGGCAGCCTCACCTGTGGTGTCAAGGCTTCTTCTGACCACCCACCACCCTCTAAACATTTGCTTAGAGCTGAGATTCCACTGAGCAGCTCCTGGTGTGGCCATGGTGACACCTGTTGCCTCCTTCCCCTGCAGGTGGTGGTGCAGCTCACGGATGACCTCCTGTCACAGGCAGTGATGATGGTGGAGGACAGCAGGCCCACCCTGGCCATCAACCTGGCTGGAGCCCGGCAGCACTGGCTGGAGGGGATGCTGCGCCACGAGATAGGTCAGTGGGGTGCTTGGGGACAGCCTGGGGTTCTCACCAGGGGGATGGTTTGGGGGCTGTGAGGGCCATGGGACAAGAGGATGTCCCCTGGGTGCTGCAAGGAGGGGGCGGCTGCTCCTGGGTGGATTCCAGAAGAGGCTGAGGCCACCTGAGTCCTGCTCCACCTGGAGAACTGGGTCCAGTGCTGGGGTCCCCAACACAGGAAGGACATGGAGCTCCTGGAGAGAGTCCAGAGGAGGCCACAGAGATGATGGAGAGGGCTGGAGCAGCTCTGCTCTGGAGACAGGCTGGGAGAGTTGGGGTGTTC